TTCAGGCCAGGTTTAGGGCAAGCTCCCAGCTTGAAGGCTGGGAGCTGCCTGAAACACTTGCAGGCTGAAGTCACAGCTTCAGGCCAGAGGGAAGAACCAGACAGTGCCTTCCTGATAGGAGCCGGGAGGAGAGGAAAGGCCACTGGCCCTGGCTCAAAGTGACTGCCCACACCCTATGAGAAAGCCTGTATATGGGGCCTCTATACTTGCTCAGGGCTGCACTGCACTCGTAATACAGTCAGTTGAGAGGAATGGAGGGGCCTCCAGCCTGGAGCAGCGGGTGACACTCATCGCCCAGCACTCCCAGCAGGTGAAGGGGACAGCACAGTGGGCAGGGACTGGGCTCTGAGGTTGCGGACATGATCCCCAGCCCAGCTGCTTGTCAGCTGCGTGGCCTTGGGCTCTACCTCCTGAGGCCTTCCCCCTCTCATACAGTACGTCGATACGATCATGAGATGAAAAGGCATATGATACAGTGCCCATAACACAAGAAACACTCAGGGAATGGAGGGAGCATTGTTACTCCATGTACCTGAAGTTTTCTAGGTAACTGAAGAGGCCTGTAAATTGGCTTCCATTCAGCTTTCTCTCCCACTATTTCCTATCCACTTGAGCAAGGCCTCACAGATTTGCTCAGATGTGTATGTCATGTACACCTTCCTTTTAATAGCCGAACATTCCATTTTCATTATTTTGATGAGTCTCTTCCTACAAATTGGATATGGCTTCCATGCCTATTTATCACAGTGCGTGGCAGTTTCCGGCCCGGCTACTCAGCCTTTGGCGGTCCTGTGCCTTCGGAGGCCCTTAGTTCTCTGTTGGCTCCAGTTGCCATCAGTCAGTTGCTGTTTCACCCTGCTGTCGGGCTCTCTGCCTATATTATCTCATATTCCAGCGTGCTGCTCTTGCAGTCTGAGAATAGTATTTCCAGGGCTGGTTCACACTGTGTGTAAATGGGAAGAAGCTTAGAGAAGGAGTCTGGGTTTCTCCAATGCAGCACTGATGGCAGAATCACTGGGAGTGTCTGTTTGCAGTAGAGTCCCAGACCTCCTGATTCAGGATTCAGCAGGTCTACCAGGGAGCCCTGGAATCTGTGTTCTAAGGGAGCTCTTAATGTATGGGAGCATTTGAGAACCGCTGGTGAGGGCACTAAGACAGCTACTTCTGCTTTGAAGTCTTTTGGGTTTATTCTTAGTTCCTTTGGTAAGGAATGTGTTACTTTACCTTGTTTCTTTTTCTTTCTTTTTTGGAGGCAGAGTCTTGCTCTGTCATCCAGGCTAGAGTGCAGTGGCATCATCCTAGCTCACTTCCACCTCAAACTCATGGGCTTACGTGATCCTCTTGCCTCAGCTTCCCAAGTAACTGGGACTATAGGTATGCACTGCCATGCCTGGCTAATTTTTCTATTTTTTTTGTAGAGATGGGGCCTTGCTCTTGCTCAGGCTGGTCTTGAACTTCTGGCCTCAGCCAGTCATCCTGCCTCAGCCTCCCAGAATACTAGAATACAGCCCTGAGCCACTGTGCCTAGCCCTCTACCTTATTTCTTTTCCTGTTGCACTTTTCTGCATCTCACTCCCTGTGTGGCTCCCTTCTACCCCTACTCCATGTCTACATCCAGGAGGCTGACTTGGTGCTGCCCCAGGTGTAGTGGGGCCTGTGCGTACACACAACCATGAAGCTGACAAACTTCCCAGGAGCCGCCCAGCCTTGGGCAACAGCCCTGTTCACAATGGGCAGGCGCTAGGGCAGTGGAGACCTTTCTTCTACTGGGTGAGGAGAACTTTCTTCTACTCTTGGCAATGTGGCACCTCTACCAACAGAAAAAACTTTCCCCAGTAGAGGTTCTTACCCAGACAAGGCAGAATTACCATGGCAGCTACAGAGCCGGTTAGAGGAGTGCTCCTCCATAGCTCTTCAGCCCAATCTGACCCCTACACATCCTACAAGGACCAAGGTTACTTCCTCTTTAAACAGTACCCTGTCCACTCTGGCCCTGTGATTACTCCCTTCTCTAAACCCTTGGGGCTCAGAGTCTACATTAATAATCATCCTCATGACATTAACAGCTGTGAAGGGGTTACAACCTTCCAGGCACTAAGCTTTACACACACTCTCCCAAGTGATCCTCAGGATTCCATGAGCTGGTATTATCCACTCATTTTACAGATAAGGAAACTGAGGCTCTGAGAGGTACAGTACCTTACTCAGGGTCACACAGCTGGCAAGTGGCCCTGCTGGAAACTGAATCCAGGCACTTGCCTCCCAAGCCTGCTCTCTTAACCACTATGCTATTGACCGTAACCAAATGCCTGGAAAGGCACTGCACTGGGAGCCAGAGGACCTGGGTCCCTGCCTTGTTTTCTCCCAGAGCCTGGGGCAGGGCATTCTGGGCCTGTTTCCTTATCTGGGGGAAAATGAAAGGGAGGGACCAGATCTCCAAGAACCCCTCCACGTTAAAGCTCTTGTCTTATTGGGCCACCCGCATCTCCACACACTGGGGTGACCCAAGGCATATCATGCTCATGTCTGGGCCTTAATGGCCTCATTTTTTAACAGAATAAGTCCTTCCCATGACTCAATTTAGGGAAGCACATCAGGTAACTTCCTGTCAAGGTCCTTCTTCCGGCGCTGGGTCCTGTGTGGGGCCTGGCCACACACACCTGCCCCGTTGATCTCACTGACTCGTTCAACTCTCACTGACTGAAGTGTGTGCCAGAGGTTACAGTGCACAGGGCTAGACAGAGACTCGAGGCCTGGTCCCTGCCTTAGGGAAATCCTAGTGAGCTGAAATGGGCCAGCAGACAATCAGTGTCACAGTGTAGAAGAGCAACACTTAGAAGGGGTGGGGCTAGGCTGGGGAGAAAGGTGAGGCCACAGGTTTACAGCTGGGCTGGAACTTAAACCCAGGTCCTCTTGGCTCCAAGCTTACTGCATTTACACCTACTATGCCTCTATACCAAGGCATGGTTATTCACATCTATACACCTGGCGGTGGTGTTCTCGTCTGCATGCATGTGTCCTCCATGTCTAGCCAACCACACATTCCCTATGGGCTGAGCTCTGTGTCTGGGAAGCAGGGATGGAGAGAGGTGGGCAGGTCTGAGACAGGTGGGAAGACCAGATGATGGTGCATGAGGGAGGCACTGAGTTCAGCTTGGACGAGTGGGTGGAAGGAGGTGGCCACCAGGGAGAGAGGGACTGCAGGGGAGCAGGTAGCAAGGGGAATGGGGCTCAAGGGCAGGCAAGCTTCAGGTCCAGCTCTGCCAGGTGAGTGACCCAGAATCTTCACTCTTCAGCTGCCCCTTCTGTCGAATCATTCTCTGGGCCGCCTTCTCCTGGGCAACTGCAGGGGCAATTGTTGCCTCACACACAGGATGCTGAGGATCACAGGCTGCCATGTCCAGCATCACTCGGGAATCTGTCTGGGGAGACAGTGAAGACTCCTGTTTGGGAAGTGAGAGCAGCCATTTGTTTACTGCCTTCTCATTAGTAAGTCCTTTCACATATATATCCGTCCTTTGATCCTCCAGCCGCCATGGGAGACAGCATCCCATTTTATAGATGACGGCACTGACACAGAGAGAAGCAATGGTTTGTCAGAGAGAAGGTTGGGTGAAAAAGGAAAGGAAAATGTTTTTTTACCAAAGACCTGCTCTGTGCCAGGAATCAACCAGCACATTTTCACACACACATATATATAAACAGATCTATTCCCTCAAAACCTCTACATGCAGCATCAATAGCAGCATTTTAAGAGTTCTAAATAAGTTCAAGTCACCAAAGAGTTCTGTTAAGTAAAGAAGCAGCCCAGCTAGAGAGGTGGAGATTCAGATGTAACACCCAGTGCCCAGCTCTGGAGTCCAGAGTTCATTCACTCTATAAATTCAATTAACAATCGTTTCTCCAACATCTACTATTACGCTGCACACTTAGGAACAAAAAGATGAACAAAACGTGGATGCTTCTGCCATGGTAGAGTGTGAACGTGTCAAGCACCAGGTTGGAGAAGTATAAGTTGCTCTGGAGAAGTGACATTTGAGCTAAGAGGTGATAGATGACGACCATCAGGATTTAGGGAGACAGGGTGGGCGTGGAGAGAAGGCATGTTTTGGGCAGATGGAGCAGCATGTGCAAAGGATCTGAGTCGGTACAGAGTTTGCAAAGTTCCAGGGACTGCACAACGGCCAGTGTGGCTGTAGAAACAGCCCACAGAGCCAGATTGTGCAGGGCCATGTGGGCCACATCTAAGATTTTTGAAGCTCAAGTCACCAAGGAGTTCTGATGAAGTAATGGGCATAATCACAGCCGTTTTTAAAAAAGACTCTGACTGACAAGCAGAGAATGGCCAGGAGTGAAAGCAGAGACAAATTAGGAGGTTTTTCCAGAGATCTCAGAGAAAAAGGGAAGGCTGGACTGAGTGGTGGCACAGCCCTGGAAAAAGCAGACAGATTCCTAAGCCACCAAGGAGGAATTCGGTGGGGCTGTGATTAACACCACGGGGAGAGAGGGAGGAGCACGTGGCAGTAACTAGCAGGTGCTCCCCTTTGGCCCGGGGCCCCCTGCCTACCCCTGTGCAGGTTAGGGAGGGCCCTGAGGTTGAGGCATATGCTGAGTCTTATCCCAATACACAGTGGGACCTAAACCTAAGTTAGAGTCCGCAGAGGCTCCCTTTGATTTTTCTCAGAATGCCATAATGTCTGTGTCCCAGAGCTGGGCTCACCCACTCAGCAAGATTCACTCCGACAGCATGAGCCTAGTTACCTTGTTTGTTGTACTGCCTGCTTACCAGTCCTGACCAAAACTATCCTTGCTCTTGGCCCAAGAGCCTGTGAAAAGAAATTGCTCAGTAAATCCACAGCCAGACTCTCCAAGCCAGTGAATTCTGAAGCCCTGGCACTGTCTGTGGCTACCCCATTGACCACCAGGGCCCCAACCACCGGGCATGACTGCCTAGTCCAGGATGGGACCACTGCTGCTGGCAACCAGGCTGGGGACAGAGATGCTGCGTGTGGAGCTTTATTTGCTTCTGGTATGTACAGGTATGCACAGTTGGTATGAAGTCTATGGCACATCATTTCATAGGATTATCTTACACCCTGGCACACTTCTGGGCGGAAAGCAGCAGACTCTGCTCCTAACATCCCACGGATGGTGAAGGGAGAGGACGCTAGCAGGAGCCACCCCCTTCTGAGGACATTCGTGGGGGCTGCCTGCCCCCTTGCCAGACACTGAAGCCCTCCTACGGACAATCTGTGCCTCCCACCTCCTCTGGGCGCTTGCTGACGGGATTTGGGTGGTGACAGCAACAGCAGCTGCTTCCAAAGTCTTTCTCCTCCAGTGGAACGACGCATGTTGGGGGGCCAAAAAGGAGCAATGGCCCCCACCCACCAATGGACACCTGATGCCTGACTGGAATCTTCCGCCCCGGGTTTGAGGGTAGCAGCTCACTCCGCTGCCCCTAGCATGGGCACGGCCTTCTAACCCTGCCGCAGCCTGGGCTCATGGGGCGCTGGCGTGCATTTTCTCCAGGCAACTCGTCCAGAACGTGACCAGCCGGTTGTCACGGTTGATGCAGAAATCTGTGAAGTCCTTCAGCAGCCGATCGGCAAACTTCTCATCCCCCGTGGCACTGGAGCGCCACGTCTTGGTCAGCATGGTGTTGTAGGCCCAGTTGTAGCCAACCCGCTCCTCGCAGAACATGTTCTGGTTGGTGGAGCTGGTGGAGTTCCGCCGCCGCCGTTGCTGCCCTGAGAACTTGCGCTTGGAGTAGGGCAGCTGCAGAAACACTGTCCCTGGAGAGAAGGGAGAGCACCTGTGTCACAGCCACTAGGAGGGCACCTGGAGCCACCTGAGGTGGCTCTGTGGCCACAAGCTCAGTGTAAGGGAAGGGACCTCCGTGAACAGGGCCAGGTCCCTGAGGGCTCCCGCTCCCACCACAGCCCACCTGCCCAGCTCCTCACCTGTAACATGGATGTACTGAGGCTTATTCTCAGCAGGGAAGTTAAAGGCAGAGGCAGAATATTTATCTTGTACAAACCCAAACCTAAGGGAAGGACAGGAAGACACATGGATCAGGGTCTTCCTAGCCAAGGGGACAAAAGGAAAGAATGTGGCAAATAGGACTTGCTGACATCCTGACATAAAGGGATCTAGAAAGATCTCCTTCAACATGGAACATGCAGGCTGTTCTTTTTTTTTTTTGAGACAGGATCTTGCTTTGTTCCCCAGGCCAGAGTGCAATGGCATCAGAGCTCACTGCAACCTCAAACTCCTGGGCTCAAGTGATCCTCCTGCCTCAGCCTCCCAGTAGCTGGGACTACAGGCACACCACTACCACACCTGGCTAATTTTTAAATTTTTTTGTAGAGACGGGATCTTGCTATGTTGCTCAGGCTTGTTTAGAGCTCCTGGGCTCCAGTGATCCTTCTGCCTCATCTTCCCAGGGTTGGGATTACAGACGTGAGCCACTGTGCCTGGCCAGGCTGTTTATTTTTGCCCTCGCTGTTTTCCAACCTCTACCCCTTCTACCACCATGGCTCACCAGACCTCCTTGCACCCAGGCAAGGACCTGTCATCTCAGGTCCACCGTGTCACCATCACCATAGCAAATAAAAGATCTTCCACCCACTGTACTCTTCACTCAGGCTTCATCTCTGCTCAGATGCCGCCTCCCTACTGTTTCGGTCCCCCAACCACCCAGCAGACCTGCCCACTGTGCCTTCTCCCCCATCCCACCCTGGACCTTTCCTCTGCATCTTGCTTGAATGTACCTCATCTTGATTCACCTTAGCCATACCTCTCTACCTTTCTCCACTGTTGTTAGGCTAAGCAAGTGGAGGGTTCTCAGTAAAGGCCTTGAATTGTAATGGAATGAAGTGTCGTAACTGAAGTCCTTTTCTTAAGTGAAGAACACCAATCTGGGCCTCTCTGGTTCCCTGTGCTCTGGAAACAGGCAGGAAGAGCCATTTTTCATCTATGCCTTGTTCTGTTCCATTTCTCATCTATGGCTTGTTCTATTCCTGGTTTTTCTATTTCCATAAAGTGCATTTATTATAGCTCTACCTGCTAAGAGCTGTAAAGGACGTGGTAACAGATGTGGCTCCTGTCCTCTAAGTCTGAGGGGTTTATGTAACAAAGGCAGTGATGCAGGCAGAACTAAAGAGGGTGAAATGCCTGTCTCCTTTCCTGGACTGAGTTCCTCGGAAAGGTGCTGTATAAGCTATATAAGTTTGTGCCAGCTTTATAAGCTGCTCAGGCTGGGTGTGGTGGCTCATGCCTGTAATCCCAGCACTTTGGGAAGCTGAAGCAGGAGGATTGCTTGAGTCCAAGAGTTTAAGACAAGCTTGAGCAACACAGTGAGATCCTGTCTCTACAAAAAAATCTAAAACTTAGCAGGGTATGGCGGTTAACACCTATATTCCCAGCTATTCAGGAGGGTGAGGCAGGAGGATCACTTGAGCTCAGGAGTTTGAGGTTGCTGGGAGCTAGGCTGATGCCACAGCACTCTAGCCCAGGCAACAGACTGAGTCTGTCTCAAAAAAAAAAAAAAAAAAAAAAAAAAGCTGCCAGCTTTATACTGGCATTCCATTATTATTTACCAAATAATACATGAAGTCAAATATGCAAATTAAATGGACAGGCTACTTTGCATTGCATTTGCCTTTGCTTCCTTTACTTTCTTTTATTTTTTAGACAGAGTCTCCCTCTGTTGCTTGGACTAGAGTGCCATGGGGTCAGCCTAGCTAATTAGCCTGGCTAATTTTTTCTCTATATATTTTTAGTTGGCCAATTAATTTCTTTCTATTTTTAGTAGAGATGAAGTCTTGCTCTTGCTCAGGCTGTTTTCGAACTCCTGAGCTCAAACAATCCTCCCGCCTTGGCCTCCCAGAGTGCTAGGATTACAGGCGTGAGCCACCATACCCGGCCTACTTTCTTTTTTTTGAGACAGAGTCTCACTCTATTGCTGGGCTGAGTGTAGTGGTGTCATCATAGCTCACTGCAACCTCCAACTCCTGGGGTAAAGTGATTCCTCCTGCCTCAACCTCCCAAGTAGCTGGGACTACAGGCATGCGCCTCCATGCTCAGCCAAGACCTTTATTATTTTTAAATGCAATTTAATCACCTGTTCTGTGGCCACCTCACTGTCCAGTCAGGGAGAATGTAAGCTAGGATTGCAGGCAGGGGGCTTCTGTCCCTGGGAAGGAGATATATTTCTTTGTTTGTTGTAACCCACGGTATTGCATACTGAGTGTAATAATATCACTCCAAATGCCCAGATGAACATAGAGGAGGAGCGGGAGCCATAGAAGAAGAGGTGCAGGGAAGATGGGTACCTTTCTAGCTTTTTCTGAGACAGACATTATGGGTGGGCTGATGTGACATTTCAGAGCCATATTACCACTTAAAGCTCCACTCTATGTAGAAGCTACATACTAAACAACTGCTCTAGGCAAGGCACTTTGCTAGGCATTGTAGAAGGAAATAAAAATACCATCTGGGGGCCCCCAAATCATTGGAATACATTCTGAGTGTTTTGAAAGAAAGAGAAAGAGGAATTCAGAGTGGAAAAACCTGGAATTCCTGGTGGAGCAAGATTCTGACAGGTGTGGAATGTGGGGGAGTACAGGTGTGGAAGGTGGAGAGATGTAGATATGGAAGGTGGGGTGGAGGTTTAGATGTGGAAGCTGGGGGAGTGTAGGTGAAGAAGGTGGAGGATGTAGGTGTGGAAGATGGAGAGATGTAGGGGTGGAAGGTGGGGGGTCTAAGTGTGGAAGGTGGGGGGTCTAGGTGTGGAAGGTGGAGAAATGTAGGTGTGGAAGGTGGGGGGTCTAGGTGTGGAAGGTGGAGGGATGTAGGTGTGGAAGGTGGGGGGTCTAGGTGTGGAAGGTGGAGGGATGTAGGTGTGGAAGGTGGGGGGTCTAGGTGTGGAAAGTGGAGGGATGTAGGTGTGGAAGGTGGGGGGTCTAGGTGTGGAAGGTGGAGGGATGTGGGTGTGGAAGGTGGGGGGTCTAGGTGTGGAAGGTGGAGAGATGTAGATATGGAAGGTGGGGTGGGGGTTTAGATGTGGAAGCTGAGGGAGTGTAGGTGAAGAAGGTGGAGGATGTAGGTGTGGAAGATGGAGAGATGTAGGTGTGGAAGGTGGGGGGTATAAGTGGGGAAGGTGGAGGGATGTAGGTGTGGAAGGTGGGGGGTCTAGGTGTGGAAGGTGGGGGGTCTAGGTGTGGAAGGTGGGGGGTCTAGGTGTGGAAGGTGGGGGGTCTAGATGTGGAAGGTGGGGGGTCTAGGTGTGGAAGGTGGGAGTCTAGGTGTGGAAGGTGGAGGGATGTAGGTGTGGAAGGTGGGGGGTCTAGGTGTGGAAGGTGGAGGGATGTAGATGTGGAAGGTGGGGGGTCTAGGTGTGGAAGGTGGAGGGTTGTAGGTGTGAGGCTTAAGCCTCCTTCTGAGGGAGATTAGGAGGAGGATGCTGTTAAAAAAAAAAAAAAACAAAGCAGATTTCACAAATAAAGGTCACCTCCGAGTGACACCCAGCTGCCTGGTGCTGTACGAGGCGAGCAGTGTAGGAGCTGCTAGAAATGCATGAATTAGCCATGGTCTTCCCTAAGGATGACTGTCTGCTCAGGGCTCACTAGGGACATCACCAGGTTCACCAAGAACATCAGAGAACCCTCCCAACAGTCCTGTGAGGGGTGAGAAAATGAAGACTCAGTGGTTCCAGGACTTGCTCATGGTTCCTCAGCCAAGTGGTGGTGGAGGTGGCAGTGGACCAAGCCCATCTGCCTCCCACATCAAGACATTTCCCACTGACCGCTGCACTCCCTGCCTTCTGCCCTGAATCTGTACACACACTCACCCCTGCCCTTGATGGAAAGAGGAAATGAACTACGCTTGCATTCATTCCCCAGCCTTTACTAAGCACCTGAGCTAGGTCTATGAATGAAAGTGCAGACCTTAGAGTAAGGCCTGAGGTAGGCCGGGGCTAACTTGGGTGGGAGAAGCTAGAGTCTGGACCTTATGCTGTGGCTGTGCGCGTGAGTGTATGTGTGCGGGCTGCGTGGTGGGGTTGGTAGCAGCTGGAGATGCTTGCATAGGAGAGGATATGACACTGGGGGAAGGTGTAAAGAGGTTACTGAAGCAAGCACAGGAGGCTTTGTTTCACCAGGATTAACATGGAAGTGGCAATCAGACACCAGGGTAGTGATGTCTGGAGACAACAGTATGGCCAAGCCTACGACAGGCTTTCCCTGGCACACATATTAGGTGCCAAGAAGTATCTACTGACTCATCTATTGGTTTTTAACTTCATTATCTTTCCAACACATGTCAAGGGGCTCTTGACATATTTTATAATTTTTCATTTCATGTTATCTCTTGGATAGCTTGGCTCACAGTCTTGTTGGAGGCCAAGAAGAGAGTTCTATATTCTTCACTCAACTGGAAGAAGGTGGTAATGAGGTCTGAAAAACAACAGCTACAGCAACCAGGGAAGTAGCGCTTATCTCTGAAACCAAAGAGTCCCACTGGAGATAAGCAGCCAATTTGTCATTGGTGGAATAGATCCTTTTCCCCAGGAATAAAACAAACTGAGTTTCACTTTGGTAACTGCCATTCAAGATAAACGCTGATTACTTCCCTCTTGCTAAGGGACAAACCTGTGTGCAATGGCTTCCTGGAAAAGATGCATTCGATCCCAGTATGTTTCTGGTTCAAAGCCTGAAAGGAAAAAAATAAATGCTGACTTGTGATCATAAGGTTTGTATTTCTTTCTAAGGCCTGTCTTCTGCACCCTTCAGCAGTCTTGGAGTTAGTCCCCTTGAGCCTAAGCTCTGCTTCTCCACATTACCTGGTTTAGGAAGACTGGCCTCCATTCCAAGGAAAGGAAAGGACAGCTGTGTGTCTAAAGAAAGGATAGCTGTGTGTTCATACATCACTTCCCCCAAGCTATAGCAGGGTCTAGAAAGGTGATGAATCCTCAACAGCCCGTGTGAGCTCCTAGAACTCAATATAAGACTCATTCTAATGATTTCCTATGCCAAAAGCTGAATGGACCAGGACATTAAAGTACAAACAGAAGATAAACTTTAAATGCATGTTAGCTACCTCTAAGGAGCAACAACAACAAAACCTTTACTTTTCTATATTATCAATCTTCCATTTCCCTAAAAGGAAAGGCAATTATTACAAGCTCCATGTTAGGGATGGGGAAAATGAGGCAAATAAATATAAAAATACATTTTTGACAAGTAATTGGTTGGGGAGGGGAGCAGAGGAGGAGTCCCCTCCTCCATTACCTACTTCATTACTCTGGCCTTGCTCCCTCTGCAAAGCTGCTGCTGAGGACCAAGAGTGGAGTGAGGTGGTGGGAGGTTGGGGCAGGCTGTCACCCAGCGGCAGGCAACTGAACCAGGCTGCTCTCGGATGAGGTGCTGGTGCCAGGGCAGCAACTGCATAGATATCCCAAAGACCAGGGTGCCTGCCATATCTCTTTTTTTTTTTTTTTTTTTTTGAGACAGAGTCTCGCTTTGTTTCCCAGGCTAGAGTGAGTGCCATGGCGTCAGCCTAGCTCACAGCAACCTCAAACTCCTGGGCTCAAGCAATCCTCCTGCCTCAGCCTCCCGAGTAGCTGGGACTACAGGCATGCGCCACCATGCCCGGCTAATTTTATATATATATTAGTTGGCCAATTAATTTCTTTCTATTTATAGTAGAGACGGGGTCTCGCTCTTGCTCAAGCTGGTTTCGAACTCCTGCCCTCGAGCAATCCGCCCGCCTCAGCCTCCCAGAGTGCTAGGATTACAGGCGTGAGCCACCGTGCCCGGCTCTTGCCATATCTCTATTACTCTTTCTGCATTTGGAATTTTCTACCATGGGTGGCTCTCAGGATTCTGGGCAACTAAGGAGCAAACCACCAAAAAAGACTCTGGCTTTAAAAGCAGAAAATACACACACACAGTGCACATCCTTGTCAGATTTTTAGAATTTTGAAATCCCTGTTATAGGAAGTGGTGAGAACAAGAAGAGAAGAGACACAGACACAAGACAATAGATTTTTTAGATTCAAGTCCTTATTCTTTTAAACTAGGACCCGGTCTTTGGCTGTAACCATGGCAACCAACAGAAGACGCTGGTCTTGAAGACTGGGTTACAACTGGCCGGGAAAACCAATTTGTATAAAAATGTCCTCGATGCCAACTCTGAGGGCAATCCTGTGCTGTTACAGTGACAGCGAAAACCCCCAAAGAGTCTACGGATGGTGTGAGGGAAGATCTCTGTTTTCATAATATAATAAAAACAACAGCACAGGAGCTGCCTAGTCTAAAATCGCCTGATATGAACACAATCATCTGGCATTTCAGGACTGCATAAATGGTCCTCTTTCAGCCACACTGTGAGGTTCAACGAGAATGTGTGTGTGTAAAGGGAGATTTGTAAGCTCTACATATCAGGCACTCTATGGCCTCCAGCAGGGAGGGGCTCTGTGGGGCTCACCCGGAACCCCAACTATCATTTAGAACATTGCATCTATACAAAAGTGCCTTCCAAGATGTAAACAAAGAATACGCAGATGGGCCTTGTGGAAGAAAAGCTGTTCGCACCACAAGAGCAGCCCATCACATGAAAAACATAGGAACACTTGGCCTACCCGCATGTCACCCTCTGGGCCAGTTCTCTGCCGCCAATCATGACACAAACTTACAGGGGCATGGAAAAAAACGCATCTCCCTTAGGTCAAAAGTTATTTCCTTCACATTTATAATCTTTATATCCGAGAAAGTACAGGGCTCCTGATGTATCAGCATCAATGTTAGCTTCTCGTTTTTTTGTGTTTTTTTTTTTTTTTGAGACAGAGTCTCACTTTGTTGCCCAGGCTAGAGTGAGTGCTGTGGCATCAGCCTAGCTCACAGCAACCTCAACCTCCTGGGCTCAAGCAATCCTACTGCCTCAGCCTCCCGAGTAGCTGGGACTACAGGGACGTGCCACCATGCCCAGCTAATTTTTTGTATATATATTTTTAACTGGCCAATTAATTTTTTTCTAAATTTAGTAGAGACGGGGTCTCGCTCAGGCTGGTTCTGAACTCCTGACCTCAAACAATCCGCCCGCCTCAGCCTCCCAGAGTGCTGGGATTACAGACGTGAGCCACCACGCCGGGCCTAGCTTCTCGTTTTAAACAAGATCATCTGTGAACTCATTGAAAGCTTTGAGGAGCTATTTATATGTTCATTCCCAATGAGCATTTGGGGATAAAAAGCTATGTGCTGTCCTAAACCTGCCTTCAGGGTTCTAGTGGACTGGGGTTGGGCAGCAGGTCTGGGTTGGCCCTGTGTGCTCCCTTTCTGACTGACAACCTATCCTAGAGGGAAGAGCTCTGATTTGGGTCCTCCTGTCTCCTCTGAGCCTCCTCCTGTTCTGCTCTGCCTTCCTTAAAGATGTGTGTCTCGAGCCATATGCACTGTTTCAGGGGCTGAAACGCCACAGCTTTGCACAAAAGGACACTGTTTCCTATTTTGCTTTCAATGCTCCAATGCCACCCCACCCCCCAACCTTTTCAGTCTTTTTGCATGAAACAGCACATGCAAGTCCCCTGTGAGGCTCAAAGCCCCACAGCCCAAACCAGTCAGGCTGGAGCATGGGAAAGGACAGTGTGGGAGAACACCAGTGCCTCTCGTGATTTACAGCTTGTTACACCCTCTCCCACCCACCACTCCATGCCGAGGCCTTATGATGCACTTCCTGAGTTGGCAAGGCAGCTCTAGATACTCCCAGTTTAGGAATAAGGAATTCCAGGCCTAGAGATGCTAAGTGATCAGTCTAGGGTTACCCGGCCACTAGGTGAAGAACCAGGATTAGACCCTAGATCCTTTTGGCCCCTCATCAAAAGCCTCTCTTTCCCCTAGCCCATGGCGATTAGAAACCCTGAATAATGTCTTTGGTGGAAGAAGGGGTCTTAGCTGTTGAGATGGAACCTCTGGGGGGAATATCTCTTACTATCAAATAGGTGCTCGCTGCCCTCCTTGAGCAAACAGCTGATGTTGAGCGGGATGAAGAGCTGGGCTCGAAGGGGGTCGCCATACAGGTAACTGGGCAGCGCAAAAGGTCCTTCCAAAACCGGGACCAACAAAAAGCCACAGGAGGTAGCTTTCCGATGCCAACCTTGGACCTGGTGGAAAGTGCAGAAATAAAGAGTGTCATCGCTAAGTTCTTCTAGACAACAGAAAATACTTCCCAAGGAGTGAACCTGCCAAAGCAGCAGCATGCATATCGATTGGCTTGTTCATTTATTTGTGTCCTCTGGCTCCAAACTGGTCCTAGACAGGAAAAAGTACAGTTTAACCTCCTGAAGAATACTTGGGAAACTGTGAGCTAATAAGCACATAGCTCCTCTTCATAGCCCAGGCTTCTGCAACTTTGGTGTTTCTTTTGGAAGGAACAGACTAGAGAGAGCTGAACCCCTTCCCATTCCAGGGGATATTGAAAGAAGGTCATGGGATATAGGTTAAGTCCTTACAATTTTGTTTTTTATCAGGAATTTAATAAGTCAGCAGCGTTGGGGACACATGTAGCCTTCTGGATCCTCGAGTGCAGCATTTTGACAGAATCTAATTTTACGGAACAAATCACTAATAAAGGGATTTGTTCTGTGAAGTCTGGATTCAGCTGAGGGGCTGCACTTGGGGATCTGGAGGACCACATGTAGCCTTGAGGCCACTGGTTCCCCAGCCCCCTCAAATAGAAAAACAATCCACTCAGGCTGGCTGAGACGAACATGACATAGGGTGGGAGATGACTGTGGTGGCCTCTGGCCAAAAGTGATAAGCACTGACCTAACAGAAGGAGAGCCATTCTCTGGCAAACTCCCAAAAGCTATCTGCCTGAAGACCAAGGACAAAAGTTACTAGGGCATACAGACAACTCTCTCAACAGTACATTTTCTTGGGAAGCAATGGCCATTTTCTAGTTCTTGAGATAAATTGAAAGAGACCACTCTTAATCTTTTTTCCCCAGGAACACTCAAAACAACAACAAGAAGCCAAGATCTCTGACCAGAATAACTCCTGAGGCTTGGTCAACAACCTTTTAATTTTATGTACTAGTTATCCTAATAAAATCTGATTTATAACAAATATGGACATTACCTTAAAATAATAAATTAACCTACACTACAGCTTTAAAAAGCTTAACAAAGTAATGATAAAGGGATTAGCAGCTTTCAGTGGGATTTACATAAATAGACGTGAAAAAGTATACTTTTTAAAAGACAGTTGCTAAATTCCTTTGAGGAAATAAACACCCTTCCTCCTGCTCAACTGTGACAATATACATATGTCTATGAATGCTGTGGTAGTGTTGTTTTGCGATATGGTTATCTGGTAGGGTCTGTAAGGAGAACACTTAAGCCTATTTATTGGGTCAGAGGGTTAGTTTTGCCTGAAGATGTGGTCATCCCCAGTGTCAACCAGCTGGGGAACAGCTAGTGTCCTCTAATAGCTGAGCAGGACAAACGGTGGGCTGTCGTTTTTGATTTGGACCTTAAAGATGTTCCCCAGATGAGAGTCCTTCCAAAGGAGACGTCCTTGAAGATGCTAATGCCACATGGAGGCAGACAGAGACCCGGACAAATCTCTTCTCCAGGGTACCATGTCTTGTGGAACAAAACTGAGCCTATGAACTCTGGACACAAGCACTTGCCAGCCCAGGCAGTGGTGATTTCTCTTTGGTCATCTCCCAGCTTTCAGTCAACTCTTTTTGAACTTCCCAGCTGCTCTCAGCTGTGCGATGAGATGCTTGGGCTGGTGTTGGAAGGGAGCAGGACTCAGCTGAAGCTATAGAGAAATATCCTTTTTGGCTATATTGGAGAGTTTATAAAGGAGTGGGCACTGAGACTGGGGATGGGGGTGGCCAGGGGTGGCTTCTCAGTGCAGGAGCAGTGAATAGCCTGATTAGAGAGGTGAGCCAGGACATACCAGGAGGAGGAAGGACAGGCAGGGAGTCCAGTTAAAATAGGGCTTTTCACCCTTAGCACTTATGACATCTTGAACTGGTTAATTCTTTGTTGTGGGGCCTGTCGTGTGCACTGCAGGGTAATGAGCAGTATCCCTGGTCTCTACCCACTCAATGCCAGCAGCACCCTCACCACCCGCCATCTGTGACAAGCAAAAATGTCTCCAGATATTGCCAAATGCTCCTGGGCAGCAAAATCACCCCTGGTTGAGAATCACTAAGTTTAAAGCAGTGATGTTCATTAACAGGGGATTGGCTAACTATAGTACGAATAAATAATAGAATATTCTGCAGCCCTTAAAATAATGAGGCAAAACAAAAACAAAAAATCTATAACAACCAAAAATAAAAAAACAACCAAGGCAGATTTATTTCCATGTACTGACACGGAAGACATACAGGTAACAGGAAAAATGTAATAATTTGTATCCCATGCTACGAAAAAAAAAAGTAACATGGTTTTATATATACTACATGCATAGAATCTCTCCAGAAGTTTACTTGACAGAGTGGTAGTTGCTTTTAGATGAAAGTTCCAGGGATCAAGGGTGGGAGATACTTACTTTCCACTCTAGACCAGTGATTCTCAACAGGGAGCAATACTCCCCCCCGTCCCTGGGGACATGTGGCAATTTCTGGAGACATATTTGGTTACCACAACCGAGGGGTATGCTACTGGCATTTACTGTGTAGAGGCCACGGATGCTGCTCAATGTCCTATAATGTGCCTGACAGCCCCCCTACAACCTCAGAATTATCTGGCCCCAAATGTCAGTAGTGCCAAAGCTGAGAAACCTTGACCTTACCCTTTTTGACCATTTGAATTTTTAATTATGTTGAAATATTTTTTTAAATTTTTTAGAGACAAAGTCTCACTCTGTTGCCCAGGTTTAAATGCAGTGGCACAATTGTAGCTCACTGTAACCTTGAACTCCTAGGTTCAAGTGATCCTCCTTCCTTGGCCTCCCAAGTTGCTAGGACTATAGGTATACACCATCACACCCAGTTAATTTTTAAAAAAAAAATTTTGTAGAGATGGGATCTTGCCATGTTGCCCAGGCTGGTCTTGAACTCAAGTGATACCTCCCACCTCAGCCTCCCAAAGTGCTAGGATTACAGGTGTGAGCGATGATGCCTGGCCTATTTAAATTTCTTTAAAAGGCTACTCCAAGAGACCAGCTGAATGGTAATAGGAGCCTGAACTAAAAAACAAAAGCAACATGAATCTCTACTGAGCATCCCCCATTCCCCTCTGGGAGGTGAACCAAAGGCGCGACCACACGCATGTTCTCACCATCTCGAAGAGTACTGCGGCGGTCACTGCCATCCAGTGCAGCTTGATCTCAAAGGCTGCATTCAGGGAGAAGTTGCCGTGGTAATAACAGCTGCACCACTCCAGCCGGTCTGTGCGGTTATTCACGTCAACGTCCAGGGTCACAGTCCTCTGCTCTGGGACAGTGGCAGCTAGGTCAGCACCGCAGGAGGGGCCCCAAGAGAGGGAAAAGGAGGAGTGGGATAAAGAGAAAGAACAAAATGCTAAGCGTCCAGATATGAAACTGTAGAAGTGTCTTCTAAAAGAATCACAGTTTCTAGACATTTCCTGGAAATCATCTAGTCCAGGGATCAGCAAACTGTTTCTGTAAAGGGCCAGATAAATAATTTAGGTTTTGTGGGCCATATAGTTTCTGTCATAACTATTCAACTCTATCACTATAGTACAAAAGCAGCCATAGATATTACAGAATGAATGAGCTCAGCTATGTCCCAGTGAAACTTTATTTACAAAAACAGATGGATTTTTAGGGCAGTGAAACTATTCTGTATGACTATTAATATAATATGTCTGGCCGGGCACTGTGGCTCATGCCTGTAATCCTAGCACTCTGGGAAGCCGAGGCGGGAGGATTGCTCAAGGTCAGGAGTTCGAAACCAGCCTGAGCAAGAGCAAGACCCCGTCTCTACTATAAATAGAAAGAAATTAATTGGCCAACTAAAGACATATATATAAAAAATCAGCCAGGCATGGTGGCGCATGCCTATAGTCCCAGCTACTCGGGAGGCTGAGGCAGGAGGATCACTTGAGCTCAGGAGTTTGAGGTTGCTGTGAGCTAGGCTGATGCCACAGCACTCTAACCCAGGCAACAAAGTGAGACTTTGTCTCAAAAAAAAAAAAAAAATATATATATATATATATATGGTATGTCACCATACATTTGTTCATGCCCACAGAATGTACAACACCAAGAGTGAACCCTAATGTAAACCATGGACTTTTAGTGATAATGATGTGTCAATGTAGGTTCGTGGATTATAATAAATGTACCACTCTGGCAGGGGATGCTGGTAGTGGGAGAGGCTGGGGGGTGGGGCAGGGGATATATGGGAACTTTCTGCTCAATTTTACTATGAACCCAAACTGCTCTGAAAAAATAAAGTCAATTATAAAACAAACAAACAAACAAATGGCAGGCCAGATTTGGCCAGTTAAGCTGTAGTTTATCTCCCCCTATCTAATCCAACACCTTCATTTATAGAGGAGAAAACGACAGCCCAAGGAAAGGAGATGCCTTGCTGAAGATTATAGAGTCAGAACCCTCAGCCAGGCTGAACTGTAGATCTTTTGACTTCAGCGGCCTACAGAGGACACAACAGGGCCAACAGCCCAGATGACAGTGAGAAGGAAGTCTTGCTTTTCTGGTTTTAACCTGAGAAGGCAACAGTTCCATAATTTTCATTTTCTCAAAAAAATGAAATCTTATAATGAAGCTTGACACCTTGTTCCACTGTTGATGTGTCACTCAAGGACTCCAGGTGAGCATCAAACTTCTTCATTCTACTAATATCTGGGATCCTTGCTCAGAAAAGTTACTCAAACCAAGATACGGATATTTTAGAGATGTATCAGATAATCAAGTTCCTGACCAGAATAAAGACCTGAAATGGGCTCAGAAGTAAAGAAAAGGTCAGGGCTGTGCTCTGCGTGGCTAGGCACTATGAGACCTATGGTTTCTATAAACTATTATTCCCCCTTCCCTCCATGAATTAAATGGTTTTTCTTTATCTGAAGCAGTCAGCTTAGTTCTGGGTTCTGCCATGAGTGGCTTTTGTCACTGAAAAGGATAAACAGCTCTTAAGTCAGCAATTTTAATGAATTACTGTTGGGAGGCGGGACAGTTACAGCTAGGTCACTGATGGCACTTGGGCAAACTGATATTCAGCTACCAGGTATATCACTTAGCATTCTCTCAAAACTAGAACATGCAAATGGGAAAAGTTCTTGACTTGGAGTCAGAAGATCTAAGCCCTGCCATTTACTAGCCGTGTCTCTCTGAGAATATGCTTCACCTCTCCTGGTTTAATTCCTTGACTGCAAACTGAGATGTCCCAGGCCAGCTACTTCACAGAGAAAGGATAAGGATCAAGTGAAACATGGATGACAAGGGAGTAGAGAGAAGGGAGTGAAGATTCCCTCTCTTGCCTTCTCCTCTAGCTAACTACCTCTCAGACCTCTCCTCCTTTCCTTCTGTTCCTCTTATTCTTTTCTCCCAATTTAAGCCATGAGCTCACCAATGACTGATCCAAGGGCTGTCCATGACTCCCACGGACACTGCTTGGGCTGTCTGTGATACTTAAGGCTCAAGAATTTGGCCATTCTCATCAAAACTAAATTATGTCTCTGCTTCATTCCACTGCCAGAACAACCCTTTACTTAACAGCCCAAACCAAAGAAAGAAAGTTTTGCTCTATAGTCTTAAATACTGTGTATTTCTCCCCAGGGGAAAAACCCATGCCACAAAAACAAGGATACTCAATAAACACCAGCAGTGACCTCATACATTTCTTCTCTCTCATCTGGCCCGTTAAGTTCTGATCAGGCTGGTCTGAGGAAGCCCAAGGAAGTACACTGTTTAGCCAAGTGGTTACAGGCTCAAGATACCATTGGCTTTGTACTTCAGGGGTTAGATTTGACAGAACAGATGCTTCTAGCAGGATTACAATGTTGACAAAGGTGTGAGCCCAGCTGAGTTGCAGCTTTCAGTGAGTTCAGTGAATTATTACTTGAGTTCTATGAGAACCAATTTGTTCACCCTGGAGACAGAGAGATACAGCAAGCCCAAAGGAGGAGAAGGCCGAGCATCCCACACCCAGGTCACAGCTAGGGGGTATTAACAACCTGGGGAGGGAATCAGTGTCAGTGGAGGAGAAAGAACGCAATCCTAAGAAGGGGACCAACACTCTACATAATAACCAGAGCTGCTCAAGGACAGAACAAACAGTCTCACAAGTGAGTGCCGGGTCAATGGGGGTTTTCAAAGAGAAGCTGGCTCGCCACTTACTAGGAGTGCTGTGGAAAACATCCAAGTATCAGGGTGTTGACAGAGATGCTCTACAGTTCCTTCTGAACTTAAGATCCAGTGGGCCATCAAGAAAAGGCTGAGAAGAATGCATGTGAGAAAGGCATGGGGTCACTTCTACCAGAGTCTCAGATGCACTTGCTGCTTCCTGGCTCAGGAAACAGTGGCATCCTGGATGCCAGAGATCCAGGATGACAGGGATGGGGAAGTGGGAGCCACCATGGGTGAAGCCAGAGAGGGCCATATGCCAATGCCAGGCACTTCAAAATAGGTTTCCATTGCCAACCTCTGATCGAGAATCAGAGTGTTTAAAAAGGAATATGTCAAAACAAACAAACAAAAAGGACAGTGGGAAGAAGCATCTCATTTGCTAACACAAAGGTCTAAGAGCTGTTAAGGGATAGAATTAGCTGTAATAAGGCCACATTGGGTTTAGAAAGAAAAAATACTTGTTTCTTTTGGGAAGGGGATGGGCAAGGAGGCTGACAGAGTGAAATTCCTCTCTAACAACCATGGGAGCTATTAAAAATAAAGCTATGTTTTCCCAGAAAACATACACACACACAAAATTCTGCCTAGTTTCAGATTCACTAACACCCTAAAGCTTGTACACAGAACCCAGATGAAGAACACCTATTAAATAAACTACCAGCTGTAGACATAAGTCCACTTCTTCCCTATTCTACCTTTACTTTTCTATATACTGCTCCTCTTTGAGCACTAACAACCAATGCTAAACTGAGACAATCTGAATCTTGCACTGTGCTAAACCATGAAAGTCACGAGAGGGTTTTATCAGCCTGCAGGAGAAGACATCTTTGGAAATGAAGATATTCATATAGAAATTGTCAAGATAGCCTCTAGAACCAAAATGATAATGCAAAGGTGACAATACCTAAAGCATTCTCCAGAAGCAGTAACTTTAACCAAGGAGTGAGTACAAAAAAAGCAGTAACTTTAACCAAGGAGTGAGTACAAAAAATGGGCTGGAACTGTATACATGCCTCCACGACATGTGGCTTGTCCGTTCACTGTGTGGGGACTGTGCACATGCTCAAGTGATGGGCAGTTCATCTGTTCCCAGGCTGTTAGCATTTTTAACAGGATGAAGAGGAGAACTACTGCCTTTCTGACAATTGGACAATGAATTGCTTACAGTTAGAAGGTTTGCTGACTGCAGACATAATACTTTAAATTTGATTTTCCCCAATTCTGCCAAACAACATTCATTCATATTGTTTCATACATTCAACAAATATTTATTGAAGCCATGTGTCAAGTACTATTCTAGGCGCTGGGATACAGTGAGGTGGGAAAGGAAGAAAAGAAAGATGGCAAGATTAATCAGTTGTAGGTCCTGGTGGGAGTCAAAGAGTTGTTGAAGTTGAGAATGGAGGGAGCGCACTGGAAGGACCAGTGGGGGTGGCACAGAGGCGAAGACAAGCCACACTAAGAGAGCTGCAGTTCTGTAGCAAGGGCCTGGGAACCAAGTGTCCTTTCCTTCAACACTAAGGGCAGGAGTCACCCCAGGACCTGACATATCAGATAAAGTCCTGACAGGCTTTGACTTTTGTCTTCCTGAGGCTGAAGTACAGCATGGTTAGAACTCAGGCTTCAGGGCCAGGCAGTCCTGAGTGTAAACTCCAGCTCCAGCACTTAGTAGATGCAGAGCCTTGAGCAAATGATTAAATACTTCACCTTTCTAAGCATCACAGGTTCCTGAACTCAAAACCATAAATCATAATATCTATCACAAGACTCAGATGAAGATTAAATGAGACAACTTTCTGCTTGGTATAGTGCCTGACACATACATGTGCTAGAAAGCATGGCATTAATGTTGTTGTTGCCACTGCACATCAGGTAGGGATGAAGCAACCACAACCACCAGCGCTGAAAGCACAAGAGGTGCCCACAGGCCAGGATGGAGCAGAGAACAGCACTTCCTTCTAACACCACAGCTCCAGCACTGACCATTCATTCTACCCTCAAGCTCTGAAAACATGCCTACATTATACATCAACCTCACCCCTCCTTAGGGAGTTACTGATGAGCTTCAAAACCTCTCAGGTTTTGCTGAGCTCTCTAATTTTGGCTACTATTGGAATCTGTCCTTTTAAGACAGTGGTTCTCAACTGGGGGCAATTTTACGACCCCAAGGGGACATGTGGCAATGTCAGGAGACATTATGTCACACTGGGGTGTGCTACTGGCATCTAGTGGGTAGAGGCCGGGATGCTGCTAAACATCCTACAATGCACAGAACAGTCCCCCACAACAAAGAATGATCGATCTGGCTCAAAATGTCTACACTGCTAAGGTTGACAAACTCTGCCCTAAGGTTTTGTACACTCTGCAGGAAAGATTCATATTAAAATAATTCCTTCTACCGAAGACTTTCAAGAAAAGGAAGAATTATAGTTACCTCCCCACCTTAAAAGGACCAAAACTTAGAAGATTTATCTTGCAAAACATTTTGCTAAAATGTATCAGTACATCTGCTGCCATTAGGTGCCCCTTATTCTCTCCCTCTGATCTAGGGTATCAGTGAGGGGCCTATAACCAAACTGGTAAGTCCTCAGTAAATAGGCTGTATGTTCTGGTCCAAGGGTCTTTCACCACAAGGAGGTGACACTTGGATTTGTGGCATTTATTTGGGTTCTTCAGAAACCTTTTTGCTTCCTTCAGCTCTCAGGTAAATAAAGTGTCATCATAAATGATTCAATATTTATTGAAAGTAACTCATTGTATCTTTGTCTCACAAAATGACCTCAAGAGAGTGACAGGGTTAACTTTTCAACTATTTCTTTAGTGTTTATCTGAAAGCACCCAGCTTTCGGGCATAGCTTCTTGTTCCTCAGTGAAGATGAAAATCCTTAGCTTTAAAATGTGGCTACTAAAAATAAGCTTGATTTAGTGGGGAAAATAACATCAAGCTTAGTTTCTTGAGAAGTTTCCCATATGCAATCCAGTGATATAAATGAATAACGCTGTACTTATCAAGTTCTTGTGCTTGTTCTATTTGTAATAGATTTTCCTGACTCCACCTTCATTGTTAGAGTATGGGTTTTTGCTTCCCATTGATATCAGGGTCCCGCCCTTTTATTTGCTGTTTCTAGCAGGCCCTTCGTGGCACAAAATGCATGAGCTTGCTGCTCGCTATTCCAGGCGCTCCAAGGTCTTTGGTCTCAAGCCCTTTATGGTGCTCTAGGCGGTTTAGGCTGCTGGAAGTGAGCACCCCAGGATAACAGGGAGCATGTGGTTTCCAAGACCTCAAGGAGGTAGAGAGTTAGAAATGCAACAAAAGGGAGAAGGGTAGGTCATGACTGCCTGGGTGAAAGGAGGAAGAGCTGCCCTTTTCAGGGTTCCACCCTATCCTCTCCACCCCTTCACTTTTCACATACTGTAATAGGTGACACTGGGGTGAAGGTATAAGGGGAGGTCACAGCTACACCCTGGTCCAAGTGAATCTGAGGCTCTGGAAACTGTAATGACTATTAACATTTTCATCTACCAACTAGAAAAGAATTCCAATTAGTTGGGCATTTATAGGCAAACAAAGCAGAATTTGGAATTTCACTGGAGTTTGGTCTACATTATGTTTGCTTCCTTCCTGCTAGCAGCTTTCAGGGTCTCTCCAACGCCTTGAGATAAATCCCATGGTGCTTTGCCCATGGCCTGTATTTTCTAAAGACACATTTCAACCCATCAGTCCTCCAGGGCAGACTTCCCCATTTCCTATCAGAGGTCACACCATCTTTCAACAAGCAAGTATTCACCCCATCTTAGAGCTTAGAACCGTGGAAAGGACAGGAAGAGTTCATTTACAAGCCTCGATGTGGTAAGCACATTGGGAAGGGAGGGAGGAGGCAAGGTTCCTGCCCAGCATGAACATCTGGAATGGATGACCTTTTAGGTTCCTTCATCTTTGGATATCCTAAGATGCTACAGTTCTAGGAAAGGCCTCTGGCAAGAACTAAATACCAGCTCACATCCCCTAGATCCTGAAGGCTTCTTGGGAAAAGTGGCCACAATTTTTTCTTTCCTATCTGAGCAGTTTTGGCATCATGCTCTGAAGTGAGAGGTGCTAAATACTGTTGGTTGGGACAATAATGAAGCCACTCGGCCAGTGGAAGTTCGCACAGGAGCCCACCGTGCTGACAGCCACAGCGGCTCTAATCCCAGTCCATGTGGTCTCATTCCCTTGGCTGGTTGCCACCCTCCCCCAGCCACCCACCAGCATATCCCCAGACCGTGTCCAGATCAGGCATCTACCTAAAAGCGCAGCCGCCTGGCTCCGTCCTCCAAAACTGCGGCTAAAGGAGCTGTGCCTGCTTGCATAGGAGGCCGGTCGGCTAGGCAGCCAGGGCAGGAGGAAGGCAGGAATCTCAGAGTGCAGGAGCTCTTCTGCCACAAAGGCTACCTCAAACCACTTCCGCTGGAAGCTGGTGAAGTCGTCTACCCCTGCTGTGTGCCAGGAGGTGGCAGGCTGCTGCATGGCCACTGGGAAAGGCAGAGGGGAGAGGAGTCCTCAGCACCAATGCTTTTTCTCTTACTGAAGTATGTCACAACCTGATGAGCCTTGAAAACATACGTGAAGTAAAGGGAGCCAGACACAAAGGGCCACACGGTGTATGATTCCATTAAAAAAGTCCTGAATAGGCAAATCTTTGAGACAGAAAGCACATTAGTGGATCTGGGGGTGGGAGAAGAAGGAGCTGGGAGGCGACTGCTAATGGGTATAGGGTTTCCTTTTGGGGTGATGGAAACGGTCTGGAACCAGATCAAGGTGATGGTTGGTGAATGTACTAATTGCCTCTGAACTGTTCATTTTCAAATGTTTAATTTTATGTTATAGGAATTTTACTTCAATTTAAAAATTTTTTTACCCTCAGTTTCATATCTTTCATTTGAGAGTATATAACAGTAACATGGTACTTTTCAATTGGAAGGTAAAATAGGTATTTACCGGTCAAACTCAGAATTTAAGGGAAAAAGTGTCGATGGACATACTAATGGCAACAAGGGGAAAAAAAACCCCACACACGTCCACTTTCAACATGTCCTTAGACAGAGCACAGTGAGTGGCACTAGCTGCTTCATCTCAGATATGACTCCTTTAACCCAGAGACGGAGAAGTCATTTGCCTACAGAATGCGTGTCACTTCCAGCCCAGGTCCCCACATGCCCTGGGTGCACTAGAGACACTGGTCTGAATCATGGGTGCCTCCAGAGTTATGTGAGCCAGCTCTGACCATGCTAGAAATTGTTCCCCCGAGGAATCACTTTTTCTCATTTTTTTAAAAAAACAATACCTAAAATATATCTGGGAAAACTTGCTAGGACTTGCTAGTCTTCCAGGGGAAAGGAATGGAGTCTGGAGACTCAGCAAGCGAAAACTGCTATTAATCACAGACTGGAACCGCTCATGTTAGAACCAGAACCACCTGCACGGAGTCGGGGTGGAAGTGAGCGCTGGGGCACTATGATTAAAAACAGCTACCAGGCCGAGGCGGGCGGATTGCTCGAGGTTGGGAGTTCGAAACCATCCTGAGCCAGACCCCGTCTCTACTAAAAATAGAAAGAAATTAATTGACCAACTAAAATTCTATAGAAAAAATTAGCCAGGCATGGTGGCACATGCCTGTAGTCCCAGCTACTCGGGAGGCTGAGGCAGGAGGATTGCTTGAGCCCAGGAGTTTGAGGTTGCTGTGAGCTAGGCTGATGCTACGGTACTCTAACCCAGGTAACAGAGCAAGACTCTGTCTCAAAAAAAAAAAAAAAAAAAAATTATATGTACTCTCCCAAGTCCCATTCCCCTTCTTCTCTCCCCCAAAATAAATTAATATAATATTCTCACGCACATTTTTAATAATTTTATTATACAGACATGTATTAATAGAAAATAAGGTATTCTTATGGAATTTTAAATTTTATATAAAGAACATAATACTATATATTACTTTGTAAATTGGTTTTTCATGCTTCTGACATTTATCCATGCTGATACATGTACCTCCAGCTCATTCATTTTAACAGTTGTTAACAGCATTTCATTGTTGTTTTTAGAGACAGGGTCTTGCTTTGTTGCCCAGGCTGGAGTGCAGTGGTGTAATCATAGCCCACTGTAACCTCAAACTCCTGGGCTTAAGTGATCCTCCCACCTCAGCCTCCTGAGTAGATGGAACTACAGGCATGCACCACCACATCTGGCTAATTTTTTTATTTTTTACAGTGACAGGTTCTTGCTATGTTGCCCAGGCTTGCCTCAAATTCCTGGCCTCCCATGATCCTCCCGCCTCAGCCTCCTGGAGTGCTGGGATTACAGGTGTGAGCCACCACACCCAGCCACATTTCACTGTTTGAATAAGGAAAATAGTATTCTCAGGGATGTGAGAGTATATAAAGTTACCAGGCAAAGACTAATCAAAACAGCACATCAAGACCCTCAAAGAAAGCACTGAGGATCACATGCTTATTCAAATCAGTTACTGATTTTACATTTCTTTTTTTTTTTTTTGAGACAGAGTCTCACTTTGTTGCCCAGGCTACAGTGAGTGCTGTGGCATCAGCCTAGCTCACAGCAACCTCAAACTCCTGGGCTCAAGCAATCCTCTTGCCTCAGCCTCCCAAGTAGTTGGGACTACAGGTATGCGCCACCATGCCCAGCCTAATTTTTTGTATGTGTGTGTGTATGTATATATATTAGTTGGCCAATTAATTTTTTTCTATTTGTAGTAGAGACGGGGTCTCACTCTTGCTCAGAGCTGGTTTCAAACTCCTGACCTCAAGCCTCGGCCTCCCAGAGTGCTAGGATTACAGGTGTGAGCCACCACGCCTAGCCTAATTTTACATTTCTGTGATGACAACCCAGCTGGTCAGCAAATAGTACTGATTTATTTCCAGTGGGGGCCTCTGTACAGAAAGGATGGTGGGAACTGGCTGAGTCAACTCAATCTTTCCCATTCCTCTCCTCACTATTCCAGTTCTGAACAGTGTAAGTAAATCTGGCAAGTGTGGTACTAAGTGCCTACCATGTACCAAGCAACATGCCAGGCACTGGAATGGACAATAAGAGGTAGCCCCACCCTACAGGAGCTGGTCTAGGCAGGAGACAAATGAGATACATAGATTCTTCATTCTGTTGTGCCCAGGGCTCTGACAGAGTAAATACAGGGTGCCAGAAGGCCCCTGGGGCAGAGCCTTGAATCCAGCTTCGGGTCTCGAATAAAGCAGACACTGACCAGAGGAAACTGGGGGCTTGAGGTCAGACGGAGAGAATTCTCTGAAAATCGTTCACAGAGATTTCTCTAAGGTTTACAAGTGCATAGATCCCATACAGAACGTTTCAGTTCAGACAATAAATTCTGCCAGATTTTGAAGTCAACATATAGTGTGTTTCGAAGCAAGACTTTTTCTTTCATCAATTCCAGACAGGCCTTAAACTTATTAAAAACAGATTCTCACTCCATATGCAGATCTCATTTCTGGGAAGGGTGACAGCTTCTGAGACAGGGCCTGGTCCCATAGGGGCCTGAGCAGATAGCTCTGCAGGCCCTGCCTTGCTGCCTCACCTGCATGATGTCGATGGCCATCGCCTGCGTCTGGACTCCCTCCACGTGGTTCACCAGCCAGTGCACCACCTCGGCACTGATGAAGCAGTATGGCGAGAGGCCCTTCTGTTCAGAGAGCAGCTGGACTCCTGTCCTGGGTTCCCACACGGTGAGCAGGGAATGTGTGTGCCCAGTGGCAACAAGTAGAAAAAAAGATGAAAAAGAAGGGACTCCCACGAACATATTTAATATCTGAAATAAGGACCTCCATAAAGCAATTTCTCTATGCTACTCCTGGACCCAGAGAAATAATCGTGACAGGACAGAAGAAAGTGTTACAGGGTGAAAAGGAGGAAGGAGAGAAGGGACTGATATTTATACTTGCAGGTATTACGTTAGCTATTACGTTAGGTCCTTTGCATACTTATTTCATTTAATCCTTACATCAACCCTGTGCCTTAACCATCTTTTTAAAAATCTCATTTTATAAACAAGGTAACAGAGGGTCAGAGAGATCAAGTCATTTGCCCAAAGTCTCAAAGCTGGTGAGCAGGAGAGTCAGGTATGAATCCGCCAAACCACACTGCCAGAGCATTGCCGTGACACGAGCCCTTGGGAGCCTCCTGACCCTACGCTCACATATGCGACGAACTACTTACGAGGGGTGCTTCATGGCTTCCAGGATCTCCGTCAGGGTGGAGGATGACGTCAGGGAGCTTGCTGCCGGCTGCTGAGAGCTGTGATACAGAGCGTCTGGTCAGCAAAGCAAAAGGACACACACACGGTCGGGAGCATGAATATCAGGAACATTCTCTACTTCTTACGGAGCAGGAAACGAGGACAATGTTGACACTGAAGGCATTCAAGCAAATTCTGGACAGCTACATCCGGGGGATATCTCACAGGGGGTTTTCTACTTCCAAAGTGTACACATTAAAATAATAATAACAATTTAAAGTAGATTTGTATCTGAACTTACCCTTAGTGAGTATCTCCCTTTAAATGGCCCAACCCTTTCCAAGAAATCTCCCTGGACTGCTCTGGTTTTGCCCCAAGGGCCTCTCAAGTAGCTTCATTTACTCTTGCCCAGAGAGTGTGAGGTAATACAATAAGAGCACAGGGGACAGAATCCCAGTGTCACCGCGAACCAGCCTTAGGGCCTCTAGCTTGTGTTGGCCTGAAAGAAAGGGATGATGCTATTCCTCTCTTTCAGGGTTGTTGTGAGGCTAATGTCTCTATAATACTGAGCTTAGGATCAATACCCATGAAACCCTAAATGGCAAATAATACTAAACATAACAACGAATAACATCAATCCTCTGAAACTCAGATGGGTTAAAGGAACTGGTGAAAATCAAAGAGCCGGGAAATGTCAGGATCTGGATTTAAATCCAGGTCAGCCTCACTCCAAAGCCCAGATCTTGCCATCACTTGCTGCCCAAGTTCTTCCTCAATGGTGAGATAGTCCCTTGAAACAAGCTTAATCTTCAGCAGTTGAGTGGCCACCCACCATACCAAACTGGGCCAGTTCTGGGGCTTATCTGGAAGCTCCTCAAGTTCTTTAAACCTTTCTCTTTTCTCAGTCCTGGATTCCTCTTCCTGTTTGGAGGGTCCAGGACTCACTGTAGCATTCAGAATCTCAGGATTAGAAAAAGCCTTTAAAGACCCTTGAAGTGATTTTTCCTTCCAGCCCAGGGAAATATCTGTATGGACATCTTCAATGGCAGAGAACTCAGCTCCTCTAAATGCAGTCCCCCTACTTTTTTTTTCTTCTGAGATAGAGTCTTACTCTGTCACCCAGGCTAGAGTGCTGTGGCATCAGCCTAGATCGCAGCAATCTCAAACTCCTGGGCTCACTTCTGCCTCAGCCTCCCGTGTAGTTGGGATTACAGGTGTGCACCATCACACCCAGCTAATTTTTCTATTTTTAGTAGAGACAGGGTCTCGCTCTTGCTGAGGCTGGTCTTGAACTCCTGACCTCAAGCAATCCTCTCGCCTCAGCCTCCCAGAGTGCTAGGACTACAGGACAGAGTCATCATGCTCAGCCAACACAGCCCCTTTTCATGCAGCAGTTCCTAGACCCAGTAAGTTCTTTATTATGAATTGGAATCTGTTCTCTAATTTTTTAGTCATTGGTCCTTATTCTATCTGCCAAGTTATTTTTGATCTTCTCACTTCTGGCCTAAACATCTGGTTTCTCTTTTCTCCCCAAAGCAGAAGAAAGCTTGCTGTTCTACCCTTGTAAACGATGAGGAAGCAGATAAACGCACTCCTCTCCTGTGCACTGGGCATCCTCTCCAATCTCCTTCACGGCAAGAGCCAAAAAGCCAGCCAAGAAGACGAAAGTAGAGAAGGCCAAGCCTGCTCCTGCTTCTGAACTGATTGTTGCCTCTCTTGGCCAGAATGAACAAACTGCAGTGGATGAGGCACAGGTAAAACCAGCACAGAATTTATGACATAAAGGTGACTCCTGACAGAGGCCAGTCAGGTGAGCAGCCCCAGAGAACCTTCTGCTCCCAGGGAAAGGGGTACAAAAGTCAAATTTCTTAGATCATTTAGCCAAGGGCTGCTCAGTCAGTACAGTAAAGCAACAAGATTGGGCAGAATTATTCTTAAGCAAACATAATTGGGAAGAAAATAAAAGAGAAGTTTTTCAGAATTGACAATGGCATGAAAAGCTGGTGTACTTGCTCAAGCAAATGAGGTACAGGCAGCTTCTTTTTCCTCTGGATACTAAGGAATAGGAAAAGAACAGCCATGTTCAGCCTCAATTAGTAATTCATTCGTTGTTCATTCATCTCCTTACTGACTGCAGGCTATCATGTACAAGGCATCATGCCACCCAATACCATGGTAAACAGGACAGACTCGGTCTGGGGCCTCTTTCCTGAAGCCCTGTTCTTCTGCACAGTGCCTGACACTTCCCTAAATCTCTGTGGAACCTCTTAGCTATACTGTGAGGAAGGCAAGACACATATCATTTGCCCCATCACATAGATACGGATAAGGACTGACTTGCCCAGAGTTCCACATAATCAGTGGTAGAGTCAGAACTTGGCCCAGAGCTTTGGACTCCCAGCCTCTGCAGCCTTTGAGCTTAGACTGCCCCCACTCCCCAGGAGCATGAGTTCAGCCATTCTGAGTCTCACCTGTTGTCACTGGAGTTTGTGGAGAAGCCCTGTTCTCCTACGTTCTGGGAGTTCCCAAAGGCCTGGCTGTTGCCTCTGTCCACAGATTGGCCTGTGCTTACCCCCAAACTGGTGCTATCCAACATCGGAGGGACTGTTTGTTCCACAGACATCTGTAGAAGATTTAAAAATTAATACTTGGATCTAAGAATAACCAACAGGGAAACATAGTAAATAAGCTGTACTGGTTTATCCATTCAACAAGCATTTACAAAAAAATAAATCAGTAACAACTAATACCAAAAAAACCCCACTTTCATTAATTAAAGCTACTTACACAAATGCTTCTTTCCATTCCTCTCATTCTCAGTCCCCACTGGTCCCTGATGGAAGAGCTAAAGGAGTCTAGACTATAACCACTTGGGTGTGCACTGCCTTCTATCAGAGCAACTGGGAATTCCCACCCTCCAAACCATGGCAAACAAGAGGCCACCACTCACAGTAAATCCCTAGGACCAAAGAAATCACTTCAGCATCGGACTCGAACCACACGATTTGCACTAAAGAAAAGTCTCCACAGAAAGAGCGGAGAAGTCAGAATCATTCCTTATGGGACTGGGAGGAAGAGAGAGAGGACAGATTTGCAGACAAATGGGTGAACAACAAAAGGGGCATCCTCTCTCTATCATGATGCACCCTTTCCCACCTCAATCCTCCTTTCCTGTATCTGTCAGTGGTATAGTCTTCCAATGCCCACGGTGGAGCTTCAGAGGCATCGGATAGCTCTTTTGCTTTGTATCTAAAAAGAAGTCCTAGTCCTGTGGCTGCCCCTCTGCAGATTCACGTGCATCTCTCAGCCATGCCTGCACTTCCTCTGGTCAGGGAGGGCTCTAACAGTCTCCTCACTGGCCTGCAATTACAGCCTCTCCCCTGAAAACCCTACTCGCAAGCCACCTCTATTTGTATCTTCCTAAGGAACAGTTCTAATCCCTCCACTCTATTATTCTGAAATCTTTCAAGTCTCCCCATGAGCTACTACACTAAAAATTAACTCTTGGGGCACTAAGGTCCTATACAACATTAGCCTGACCTGTGAATTCACTGCAGTGCCCATGGGTACCTTTCCAGCCAAATTAAACCCTGCATGTATAATCTGTGACCTGTTACCCTGGGGTTCTCTTCCCTACAACCACCAGCTAACAATCCATCAGTCCTTGGAATACAATGACTATAAGAGGAATCATGAATGCGAGATGCTTCAAGGTAAGCAGAGCTTCCTAACAATTGGACTTCCACAGTGAGGGGGACTGCTTCTGGAAGCAGCTGTGCCTTTCCTAGGAACGAGAAGCTCCTGGGAGAGCCTAGGCCTGTTAGGAAGCTGTGCAGGAACTCATGGGTGGTTTGGATGGTCTCTGACACCTCACCCAACTCTGAAAGTTGAAAACTACAGACAAACTAAACACTCAGTCCCTGCACCTTGGATTAACTCATTTGACTGGTGTCATGGTTCATCTGGGTTGATTAGAAATATGTAAGGGATAAAAATACAAAATAAAACTTTAGGCACAGCCTCAATAAAAAATGTGCTTCTTGTCAATAAGTGCTTGCCAATGGATCTAAAGACTCAGAACCAAGATGTGGAAACAACCCAAACAAACATTAATAGACGAATGGATAAACAAAATGTGGTATACACACACACACACACACACACACACACAAACACAATGGGCACACAGTATTTAAAAAAAAAAAAAAAGGAAATTCAGACACATCTTACAACATGATAAAACCTTGAGGACATTATAGTAAGTGAAATAAGCCAGACACAAAAGGACAAATACTGTATGATTCCATAGTATATGAGGTTCTAGAGTAGTCAATTCATAGGACAGGAAGGGCGGGTGTAGCAGGTCGGCAGCGCTGTCAGTAGCGGGTGGGGAGTGGGGGTTGTCTTTTAGTACCCCGCCTCGGCGCGTCGGCAGGTAAAGAGTTTGCTTTTTGGCCCGCTGCATGAAAGACGAGTTCTGGAGATGGATTGCGGTCAGTGGGTGTGTTGAACAGCACTGATGTGTGATGCCATGACACGTATATACTGAAGTGGCATGGCTATGCAAACCGAGACTAGAAAAAAAAAAAAAAACAGCTACCAAAAAATGACTCGTGGGAATTTCCTCACATTAGGTCCCTTGGCCTCTTTGGGGTTTATCTTTCACCCACAGAGTCCTCACCAAGCACATACTATAGCTTGAGAAACCTTTGTCACTCTGGCTATGCTTAAGTTAAATACAAATGCTCGAGGAAGTTGACAGCTCTGACAACTTGGAATACAAAGTCACACATGGAGCTCAAGAAGCACTGTCATGGGAAAGGGCAAGTCGCCAGGAAAAACGTCCACCCCCGTGGGCAACCGCATACGCCTGGGCTCTGACCTCGGTCTGGCTCTTTGTCCACTACTATCTTGTAGAAATAGAAGCCATAGATGAAGTTCCGCCAGGCTTCGCCAGATGCATGCATGATGAGCTGCTCTTCCAGCATTTTCTAGGAGAGACATTGAAACACTGAAATTCCTGTGGAGGGACTTCTTAAGGGGGCAGCCCTCCATCATGCACTGGAGTCAGTGGAGTGAAAGGAGCGCTAAGGAGGCCCTTCCCCCACCATTAGATATGTGCCTGATGTAACTTACATTATAAAATGTAGCCTCATATTATATCATCAGATATTTCAAACATGAAGAAAAGCATAAAGAAAATCCAGGTATACTACTATTCTGCTTTAATAAAGTTAATATTTTGTTATACTGACTTAAGATCTTTTTATTTAAAAAAAAAAGAAATCACATGGGCCAGGCGCAATGGCTCATGCCTGTAATCCTAGCAGTATCCTGTGGAGGGGGTACTGCTTCGTGGAGCAGCGTGCCTTTCCTAGGAACGAGAAGCTCCTGGAGAGCCTAGGCCTGTAGGAAGCTGTGCAGGAACTCATGGGTGGTTTGGATGGTCTCTGACACCTCACCCAACTCTGAAAGTTGAAAACTAAGGACAAAATAAACATCAGTCCCTGCACCTTGGAGATAACTCTTTGACTGGTGTCATGGTTCATTGGGTTTGATTAGAAATATGTAAGGATAAAAATACAAAATAAAAACTTTAGGCACAGCCTCAATAAAAAATGCGTGCTTCTTGTCAATAAGTTCTACAATGGATCTAAAGACTCAGAACCAAGATGTGGAAACAACCCAAACAAACATTAATAGACGAATGGATAAACAAAATGTGGTATACACACACACACACACACACACACACACAAACACAATGGGCACACAGTATTTAAAAAAAAAAAAAA